ATAAGATTTGTTAGTTCTCCTGACATCCCGTTCATTCTAAAGGAACTTCGTAAAATTACCTTGAGTGGAATGAAAAGCTACACGAAAGTAAATGAAGTAGGCTGTGGTCGGTTGGTGGACCTTGTAGTGGCACATTACAGCCGTGTGCAAGATAAAGAGTCGTTCAACGTGACCTATTTCACCATGGATACTTTAATTGGAATAAATGTGCGATTGAGCAGTAAGTATTTCTGCAATGAGTTTGGCCTCTATTTTAATGAGACATCCTTCGTTAGTTCTTCACATTTGTTTGAACGTGGGAGCAACATCCGGACAGTTAATTTTTTTGTGAATACCACCACTGCCTCTTCTGCGGCAATAGCTGAGTGGTTCAAGTCCCGAAGAAGCGACCTGGTGGTCCTGAGTTCATACCTTACCATCGACGCCCATTTTCTCCACTTTATTTCCCAGTCAGCCTTTGCATAGCCGCGGCTCTCCACTGCATCACCACCCTGGTGCATGACCACAAGGCTTTGTGATTCTCTCAGTTTCCCCCAGAGAATACTTTTTCTTTCTTTCACATCCTTCATGTTCAGTACATGACCGTGCAAATAATTTTCAGGAAGGCGGAAGCAGACTATCTAAGAGCTGCCGTACTAATTACCATTTTATGTTATGTGATATGAAGCGAACGCCATCAAGTAGGTGAAATTCAACTAAGTTTCTGTTGTTCTTTGCAAAGGAAAGTGAAAAAACTGATCTGGAACAGTGATGATGGTTGGGGAGACATGAATAGTGCGATCAGAGGTCTCATATTGGACCGTGGCAGTCACCCGGTGTTTAGTTTGTTGTTTTGCAGATGACCTAAATGTTAGCGGCTGATATTAGCTTGCTTAACCAAATGAATCAGTAAATCAATCAACCTATCAAGTGTGGAAGCACAGGGGAATTCTGTATCATGTTAAAAGTCTTTTTCGTCAAAAGCTGAAAAATCTGGAGCGTGTTTTAGCGTCGGAAATCTTTGTTTGCGCTCCGTACGTCTTTTCTAAAATTGGGTAGCTTACCCGTAAATACTTGAACTGTGTTGTATCGAATCCTTGCTACCTGCGAAAATCAAATAAAAAAATCATTTTCAACCGCAAATCCCAAACGACTTTCAGGATAATGATGGTAGTCCCCTTTTCGCTCTCTCTTTTTTGTCCTTTATACAGGTCCACAGTCAGGCAGAATTGGCCAAAGCATACAACTATTTGGCTGCTTATCATCTTTTGATGGGTCATTTTGAGGATGCGACAGCTGCAGCCAATAAGTGTTTAGAATTTCCCGAGACTCGTGAGGAAGCCAAAGCTATGTTCCGACAAATCTCCTCCTGGGCTGCTGATGCGGGACTGGTGCGGGCCGATGGACTGAGTGATGATCCGTCCTCAACAGCCAATGATCTGAGCGATGATGCTGTCATGGATAATAGTCGAAAAGATACCCTTTGGGACGATTTGCAACCACGACCGCGAAGCTGTTCAGAAGATGTCCCAACTACGCCTCTTCCAGCAGGTAAGTTTATTGATATATCCCTTCCGTTTATCTCAAGCTTCCAGTAAATACTAATAAGCAGTTCGCGTCACATATAACCCATTTGACAAATGCAGTAGAATTTACTTTTGTGTAAATTTATGGGAGAATCATTACACCGTTTTTTTTCACTTCGTCTAAAAACACGTTCGAAAGTCACTGTATCAATCAGCTGATCAAAAGCGATGTGCACTAGATTGTGTGTCGGCTAGGCCGAGACCAATCAGGTGAATCGCAATTGCATCACAACAATGCATAACCTTGCGCACCAACCCATCCCAGTCGTGACAGACTGCATTGAGTCGGCGAACCATCTTCCTCCCTTGGGTGCGTGTGCCCACCAGATATGTACACGAAGCCGCTTTTATAGCTTTGGTTGTGTGCAGAACGTTTCTGATCAACTGATGAATCGAATCATTTTTGTTCCTCCGTGATTAGCATAGCGTATATTCAAGGTTCAGCAGGAAACAGACCGAATCGAATTGACCTCTGTCAATATCACATCTATGAATGGCTGCTGCGAACGAGTTACGACAAGCCCAATAATTACCTAACTACTACCCGACAAGGAGATTATTCGATGTTTAAGGCCTCCGGACTTGATGAATATTCTCTGATTTGGTCTCAAAGTTGGCAAAGCTGATTTGTTTCCTATCGGCGCTTTAGCAGGTTCTCAATTATTTATATGGCGCAATCCTTTATTCGATTTAAAAGAACTACAACAAGTCAGTTCGTGTAACTGTTTTCAAGCCACAGCACAGTGAAGCTTCTGTTTACCCTCACAATATTTATCTCTGCGAATCGCGATATCGTTCACCCAAACCGCATTGCTGGACTGTTTCCTCCTTTGCTCAGACCAATAGTTCCTAGCAAACACTTTTTTTGCCTTTCATCCTGACTTCGGTTAATCTGTCCCTGTCATTCAGGTCCCCAACTTCATTGAATGGATTTACTCGTTCTATCGAGAGAATAAATGGTCACATTGAGTTTCGTCCCTAGCAATGTTTTTATTTTCTTCTGCCACGCGACTTCTGTTTACCCACTTCTTACAAGCTAGGCATTGTCAGCACATTCAGCGAACTCCATGAATACACTGTCTCATTTAAACACGTGTTTTCTATCCAATACATAGTTATTGTTTGTTAAACCGTTGTAAACATATTCACACTAACTTGTTTGATCCCACGAGTCACAGTATTTCAGGCAAAACGCTTTCATACCGTCCGTGGAACTGATTAGAACGTGTTTCTGCATGTCCGCAGTGGTGTCAACCGCTTATTCCGTTCGCCTGAATATTCTGTCTGAGCTACTACTTTTTTACTCCCCGATTATCATCATGATTATTAATAATAATAATAATGATTATTAATAATAAATTATTATTATAATTGGTGTCTTGAGTACTTCTTTTCTATGCAGATCGGTCAGACGCACCACTGTCCGGAACTGAAGCACAGTGTTCTACGGGGGCACACAACCCAGTACCTGATTCCACTGAAGCCAAGGTTAGTATTTTCATCGGCTTAATATTGTTTTTTATACATCAAATAAGAGGTGCACTGATAAGTGTGAACCTTGTGGTTACTAGAGTTTCATAGGTTTTTATTAGTGTGAATATTTCACGTTCGAGTTTCCATCCTTATCCTTTTTTTCAGACGCTAGGTCTATAGATAGTTGGTGAACATTCTCTTCAGAACACCGCATTTGAATTGTTTTCGGGTGAGTGGGTGGGTTATGGTAATCCATGAGGAAAACTTTGAATAGTCACAGTCACCCTTCTGTAGAAATTGCATGTTAAAAAAAGATGATGATACGCTGCGTTTACAAACAAATACGGGAAATTTAGCAAAGGTTCTGTTTAAGGGTCCCAATGACAAGATCGGAATTAGTAAGAAACCGTGCCAAATATGGTGTTAGGAAGGCTTTGTTGTGGTGCATGCTGCTATATGCTTATACTTGGAGCGAGTGCTAGATGTAGAGATACATTTACTAATTTGAGAGTACACTGGATGAGATGGGTCTAGTAGTATTCTTGTGGAAAATTTCTAGCAAGCCCTAAAGTGCTGCTGAACGTGTTCGCGAGATGTACCGCTGTATCGACAATTGGCAAAGGTCTGATGAGATCATGGGACGTAGGCCGGAATACCTGTGTGAGAAGCTGACGCTGGAGGCCAGCTAAACTGCGCTTTGAAGTGTTCCGCCCAGTGTGCAAGACGTCGCTGTTGATTGTGAATGGGCGAACCGTCAGCTTCGCAGATCGTTTCACTCACACCCAAGGCTTTCCTACCGATGACCCGGATGAGATGGAGCAGCTTACGGAAATTACCCATGGCCGCAGCACGTTCCATCTCTGATGCGCGTTGGGTCCACCAGATCTCGCGGTCTCTGCGTAGGCTTGCATTATGTTCACGTCTCTTTACGAGTCGTGTTTCATTATGCTCGCTGCCGGTCGGAATTTACCGACGTGCATCAAGAAGGTGTAGAGATTCCTCAGCGATCCGGGGTGTCACAGCGCGACGTGTCAGACCACAACTAAC